TTTTTTTAATTTTTTTGTCATATTCTGTAGGGACTTAAAGTTTAATGTATCAATATGTTATGAAAAATACCTGTTTCATGTTATGCCTAAGATGTTTGATATTCAGATAGATAGTGAGGTTAAGCTCAACAACCTAGGTTATATGGTAATAACAATAAGCTTCTCTTCTGGAGGGTTAACAACCTAAGTTTGCAGACCAAAAATTACAGAAAAAGGAGGGCCGAAAGGAAAGCCAACATTTTGGCCCTAGCCTTCCAAGATCAATTAAGACTCAGGACATAAGAGAACCTGTACTGTAACATCATGTAACTCAGTTGTGTCCCAAATTTTCTGACCAAGGAGATTATAGGGCCAAAGAGGTAAGTGATCATTGATATAGAGAGTGCCTAAGGAGAGTCACATAGAAAGAAAACATTCTCTCAGGCTTTCACAGAAAGCAAGTTGGCCAAGCAATGGTCGTGACTCATCCACATGGCTGACACTGACAAAGGATTTACAATCTGAGGTTCAGGGTCTCAGGATAAATCCTGAGGGGATTTAACTGACCTTATCAGATACAAAAGCTACAATTCTTCTTACATAGGTCTTGCTTTATCCTGGTCTTAACCATCCACCAGAAAAGTATAAAAATGAAGTACAAGAAATAAAGCCATGGTGTTATATTGAGCTGCAGGGGACTCAGGTCTACAACTTTTGACATTGCCAGTCAAGAGGAAGACTCAGTATTGTTATGGACTACTGGACTATTTTGGAATATTATGCTGAGTTCACACACCTATAATATTTGAATGATGGAACTAAATAAAAAAGGGGATATAGATGAATGACCATGTTGTGTCTGTGTATTCAAAATGATTAGGATATATAGCTACATTCTCTTAATTCAAGGAATAGAGGGATTTGTTTTAATAGTGTTTGTAAATAGGATATCATGTCTGCATATTGTTCAACAAATAACCACTAGGAAGGCAGTATGCAATGTATTAATTATTGGAACTGTCCTACCAATTTGATTTGTAACTGTCTCAATGTTATTTATTTCTAAATAAAATTATGGGGAAAAATAAAAAATAAAAAAAGAAAGTTGAAAACAGCTTTTTTAAATGGGGTGGGAGGGAAGGGTTCAATGTAGGGGAACGAAATGGAGAACAAGAGAGCTAACATTTATTATGCACGTGTATAAATTTCTCATTTTGAACATGAGCCTCACATGTAGTAAACATGTATTAATAAAAATGTTTCAGGGCCAGCCAAGTAGCTCAGGGGATCAAAGCACCTGCAAGCAGGCACAGGGGGTGGGGTTCGATCCCTGGGCTTGCGGTGATGGCCCTGCCCCCAGGGCATGCTGAGATGGCAGTTGAGACTGGGCATGGTGGTGCATGCCTGTAATACCAGACCTTGGGAGGCTGTAAACAGGCGGATTGCTGAGAGTCTGATTTAGTAGTGAGACCCTGAATGACCTGTAGACCCTTCCCTAAACTACAAAAATAAATAAATAAAATTTAAAATAAATAAATAAATTTTTCCAGCTCAGATATTATTATGAAACACTGAACTCACCATGAAGAGCTCCTCAGGAGATTTATTTCCATCAAGCTCAATGAGATACTGGGGATTATGTTCAGCCATTACTTTCTGCAGACAATGGGAAAGAAATCTTATCTATGTGATTAGCCAGACATAATGGTGCACATCTGTACAGAGGGTGAGGCAGAGAATTGATGTGAGGTTGAGGTTGGCTCTTATTACAAATTACTTTTGTAATTATTGAATAATAATGTATTTTTAAAACAAGAAAAGAAATGGTTGAAAACCAACTAAATATTTTAATCTACCTTGTCAAAGAATAGAGGAACATTAAAAATTATGCTACATTTACAGTATGTAAAACCATTAAATTGTGATATTAATACTGATCTTGCAAAAGTATAGGGAAGGGCTGGGGATAGAGCTCAGCAGCACAAGTGCCAACTTGGAAAGCACAAGGTCCTCCATTCGATTCCTAATTTAAAAAAATGTATAGGGAAAAATTAATTATGTTAAATGAAAAAGATTCAGTTATGCACACATGATCTCAAACATTCAAAAATTATTTAATGTTCTTAATTATATAATGCTTTTCAATAATTACAAAAATAACTTATACTGAAAGCATCCAGTGAGGGAGTGAGACAGACACAGAGACAGTGACCAGCACACTTCCTGATCTCAGCTATGCCCTCACGAGATGTTTCTTCTTGTTTTTCTCACTGACACAAATACTGGACACATATAAACATTAACTAACACTCAGTAAGCAACTGTTTCCTATATTCTGATATACTGAATATATGAACTAGGTTTATAAAAGTAAGTTTTAAAGTTAAAGGTGCTGCCCATTGATTTTCCAAAAGGCAGTAGCAATACATCTATAGTTTTTCTTTGGTGGAACTGGGGATTGAACTCAGGCCCTTGCACTTGCCAGGCAAGCACTTATTCAACTGAGCTATCTCCCCGGCCCCCCAAAAAGGTGGAAGCAATACAAAGGTCTTGATAGAAATATGTAAGGATGTTCATTTATTCCTGCCACCAGGGGCTATTTTAGCTTTTACGTACCTGCCAAACTAAGTTGAAAAATGTGACTGGTTTGTTTTACATTTTATTTTCCTATCAAGGTTCAGAATTCACATGTCCATCTTTGTTAATTACCTAATCATATCCTTTGCATGTTCCTATTATATTGTTTCTTTAGCATTCATGGAAATTCCATAACCCTTATCTGTCACATAGATTGCAAGTATTTTATCTTTCTATAATTTATCTTTTGACTTCTTTATGATGTCTTCTACACAATAAAATATTTTATCAAGTACATATACATATTCTCATGGTTTCTAGATTTCCTTTCTCATTTAGAATTTTTTTCTACTTCAAGATTATAGTAGGGATTGTGCCAGGGAGATAGCTCAGTGGCTTAAGCACCTGGCTGGCAAGTTTAAGGTCCTGAGTTCAATCTCCAGTACAAAAAAAGAAAAAGATTATAGTAGGGATTAGGGATACAATTTAGCAGTGAACCACTTGTCTAGTATGTGAGAATCCCTGGATTTGGTCCCCAGTAATACAAAAAATATGCATCAATAGTCTTTAAATTTTCTTCTAAATAATCTTCTAAACTATTTATTTTTAATATTAATGTCTAAGGTCAACTAGATTTTATTTTTTGTTCAACCACATTGAATTTTATCCAACCCTTGTATTCCCAGAAAGTAAAGATGGTCAAGAAATAATTCCCACTTTCTTCCTGATTCCTTAAAGACCCAGACAAAAATACTGTCTCCATCCTTCTTCATGACTCCATGAGACTCAAGGATAGCTCCTGTGTGTGTACCTGCTTCCATAAAGCCCAGGTCCACTTTCTTAAGTTCTTCATCACTGAATATTTTCCATATTACAATTCTGCACAAAACCACTACCTTAGTTCCACAGTGCATTTTGTTTTTCACTGTATTGTTCATAAGTAGACTCTAGTGTTTTATTTTCCAGAGTGCAGATTATGCCAATATTATTTATTTAATCATAAATAACTATGATGTGAACAAAACAGTACATAATGCTTTTCAATACCTCAAGTCTTTTCTCAAACTAAGTTAAAAAAGGATTTTCTAAAGTGAAGAGTGTGAACGCTCTATGCCAAATGTCAATGTGGGATTCCAAGACAGGCAAGGAGACCTGGCATCACCTATTCTGGAGCACAGGGCAGGACATGAACAAGGTGAGCCTTTTTTTTCATTATTAATTTTACTGAGAAACAAATAGCAATGAGACAGTTTCAAAAGAGATTAGTAGGACAGTCTCGATAATTAATACATTGCACATTGTTGTCTTCATAGTGGTTATTCACAGTACAAGATGCATACATGGTATCCTGTCCAAACACTCTTAGTACAAATCTTTCTTTTCATTGATTTAAGAGAAAGTAGCTGTATATCTTTCCTATTTTGTATATATAGATACAAAATGGTCCTTCATTTGTATCCCACCCCCTTTTTTTTTTGTTTTGTCAGAGATAGGTATTCCATTGTCATTTAAATATTGTAGGTGTGTGAATTCAGCAAAGTAAGCCAATATAGTCCAGTAGTCCATAATAGTAGTGGGTTATCTGTAGGACTGGCAATGTCAGAAGTTGTTGAATTGAGCCTTGTACAGCTCAGCATATTAACATGGCTTTACTTTTTATACCTCATTTTTATACTTTTCTACTGGATGGTTAAGACCAAGATAAAGCAAGACCTATATAACAAGAAGTGTAACTCTTGTATTTGACAAGGTCAGTCAATTCCCCTCAGGATTTATCCTGAAACCATGTACTACAGTTTGTAGATCCTTTGTCAGTGTCATTCATGTGGATGAGTCATGGCCATTGCTTTACCAATTTGTTCTCTGTGAAAGCCTGAAAGAATGTTTTCTCTCCATGTGACTCTCCTTAGGCATACTCTACATCATAGATCACTTTCCTCTGTGGCCCCATAATCTCCTTGATCAGAAAACTTGGGACATCATTGAGTTACAGGATGTTATAGTACAGGTTCTCTTATATCCTGAGTCCTCACTGACCTTGAAAGGCTAGGGCCAAATGTTGGCTGTCCTTGCAGCCCTTCTTTTTCTCTAATTTTTGGCCTGCAAACTTCAGTTGTTAACCCTCCAGAAGAGAGGCTTAATGATATTATTACCCTATAATATAGGCAATTGAGCTTGACTAGTGTACTCCACAGATGTCACCCAGGCTTAATGTCTGTCTAGGTTCTTGGCTTTGCGTTCTTGGATTGCTGGTGTTAGGATAAATATTTTTTGTCTAGATTTTGATGAAGGACCTAGAAGTTTTCCACTTTTGCATTTTTTGTAGGCAAGCTATCAAACAAAGGTCACACTAATTTATATTCCTTTTAATGGGGTTTAAGAGTGTTTTATCATATACTTGCTAGCATTAGGAATTCTTATTACTTGGACATCTTTGAAAATTTGATTCTGGAAATGATATTACTTAGATGAGAATTTCTTTATTATCAATGAGGCTAAACATGTTTCTAGAGCCTCACTGCCCTTTTGTATTTCCTTTGTGTAAACTGCCTGCTAATATTTGTGGCTCATTTATTTCAGCAGGGTATAAATTATGGGCTTAAAAATTATTTACATGACCTTTTTATATATTAAACTTTTAAATCTTTCAACAGAGTTTTAATTTTCTATCTATCATCTGTCTGTCTGTCTGTCTGTCTGTCTGTCTGTCTGTCTGTCTCTCTATTTGGTACAGGGTCTTGCTAGGCAGCTCGAACTCATAGTGATCCTCCTGTTTTCAGCCTTCCCAGCGTTGGGATTACAGGTGTGCCCCACCACACCCAGTTTTGGTCTGTGCACCTGGAGTTCTGGAGCTGGCACAGCATGTGGTACCAGGGATTGAACCCAGGTCCTTGTGCTTGCCAGGCAGGCACCTACAGCTGAGCTATCTCCCCAGTCCTCAACAAAGTTTTAATTTAAGTTTTCATCTATGCATTTATCTTTCAAAAATTTTACATTCAATGAAATGGAAGCTTTTTCCATCAAGGCCTGGACATCTGTCCAGCTGAGGCATGTACCACCTCCAGACTTTGGACATTGCGCTGGGATGAGCAATGCCAGTGTGCAAACCCTGGGTGCTGTCCTTGAAGAGACTACCTCTGCTTTTTTTATCCATGAATATTATTTCCTACTGCTTTGAGCCTGATTCCACTTTTTCTTTATTTCTTGTTCAGTGTCAGCCACTTAAGCAGTACCCAGGATAGAAAGGAAGAATGGATAATCATTTAATTCACTCTTAAGCTACATTTAAAGGCCAATAATATAAGAGGTAGGGAGGGATAAAAGCCTTGTCTAAGAAGATGATTAAATCTGGTTCACATTTTAGAAGATGGATAAGAATAAAAATGATCTAGCCAATTTGGTTTTAATATTATTAAAAAGGTATGAAAAAAACTCTTTTAGATTCTCTGTCAGATGAGAAGAGATAACACTAGGACTGCTTTTTATTTTTCTTCAGAGTTCAGTTGCTTAGCAAAATATCTGCTCAAACACCCAAGTTCAATAAATGTTTGTTGACTAAATGTCCAATCTAAGTGATTAAATTTGGAAGAATTTTTCCTGGGTTTTAACATATAAAAGATGTTTCTAACATAATTATAATCTCAGTAATCACATTTTCAAAATAATATTTTAATTAAGACATTTCTATTATAATATATAATAGTCTTTGCCATATTTACACATAGCCAACTTTGCATGAGGTGACCACGGAAACCATTTTTTTTAGTTTGCAATTTAAAATAACAATTCCCTTCAAATAAAAAGTACATCTTAGGTATGCAGTTTGTTTTGATAAAACCATAAGTTATACATTAAATGGATTTTACAAAATATACATTGTCTAGCCCCATCCATAAATGAGTTCCTCTGATTTTTGAAAAATGCAGTTCATTTGTCACTTTTCAACAACAGAGTCATTTTGCAAGAATATGGTTACAACCACACCTTTTGGGATGGAAGAATTTTCTAACAGCTTTCTACCAAGTTCAAGAAAATCAAAAGAGAAATAAATATCCGAAAGCTATTTAACCAGAGTCAAAACACATACATCAATATTTCCATTTTTAGCAATGTATCTTGTGCTTACTTCTAAAGTAGGAAGAGCTGTTTCCTTATAAAGTTTAATAATATTCTGAACGTTTTCCAAATAATCCTCAGGCCGCTGAACTAGATGTTGAAGACTTTCAGCTACGATCTGCATTTCTGCAATATACGCCTAAATGAAAAAGAAGAGATTTTAACTACTACTCGGTCAACGATTCTTCAGTTTGTAAGCCATATTCATCTTCTTTGTGCTTAGATACCACTTTAGGGTGAGAAGGAGAAAAGGGAAGATTGAAGTCATGATTTTATTGAAGAGAGACTGGACACTCTAAGCAGAAACCGCAAGTACAAGGCTTGAAGGCCTTCATTAAATGAAACAACATTTTAAATTGACTTGAATGCTAATTTATTTTCTGTTCCCCAACAAATAGGAAAGAGTAGGGGAAGATTTCAGATTTTTAAAGACAAAATATAAAACGTGGAGTTTCTTTTAATACCTGAGCTTGTAGTTCATTCATTAATTTCTTTCTTCATTCAGTAAATATTTACTGACTTCCTACTACAATTCAAGCACTGTGTGGTAGCTTTGGGTACAATGGTAAGCAAAACCATTTAATGCTCTGGGGTCACAGAGCTCACACTGCAGTTGGGAAAAGCAGCATAAACAAGAACACAAATAAATACACAATATATTAGGTGGTAGGAATAAGTACTAAAACATAAAGTCAAGAGTCATTTGAGGTGTTATTTCATATTAGGATGTCATGAAAGGACTCTTTGAAGGAGTGACATTTGAGCTGGACCTTAGAAGAAAGGGACAGAGCCACACAGGCAGAGAGTGTAGTACATGGGGCCTCTATTCACAAACTTAACTCTTTCCATGGTTCTAGTTGCAATGATATTTAGAATTAAGTTCATGAACTGAGGTACCACCATACCTATAAAAGTTTTCAGCCCAAGGGTGAGTGTTCTGCATCAAATTTAATATAATTAGTCTTTTTGTTCCAGTTTTATAAATGCATATAAATAGTGTACACAATTTGAATCCCATTATCTATGTATAAGCCATCTTATAATCTGTTTTAAGTATTATTTTAATGCCCAGGTAATCATTTCCTTGAACACAATATTCAATTATTTAATCATTACTCTATAGCTGGACAAGAAGAATGTTTCAGGTTCTTACATTTATAATTGGGCCAGCAAGATAACTCAGCAGACTAAGTGCCTGCTTAAGCAAGCACAGGGACCAGGGTTTGATCCCTGGCACCACATGCCATGCCAGCCCCTCCCCTGGGTACACTAAGCTAGCCACCAAGATGGGCATGGTGGACCATGCCTGTAATCCCAGTGCCGGGGAGGCTGAAAACAGGAGGATCACTACAAGTCCAAGCTGTGTAGTGAGACCTTGTGCCAAATACATAAATATAATAAGAATAATGCCACATTTTTATATAAATCTTTAAGTACTAACATTTCCCTAGAATAATTCTTAAAATTATGATTACCAAATCAAAGTTTATACATTTCAAGGTGGATGATTCAATTGCACTAACTTTCAAAAAAAAGTGTTACCATTCCCTTTCCTGCAGGCAGCATTGCAAACACACTTGAATCCACTGGTTCAGCTATCACGTACCTTTATATTAAGTACTTACTACTACCTAGCAAGCACTGTAATGGGTATGGAGATATATTTAGTAGGATTGACAAGCAAGTGAGAACATAATAGAATTTCAAAAGGTGACCCTAACCCTCACCCTAAAGTGCTGTGAGCAAAATAAAGATAAGGACTTACATTTCCATTGTCCAGCATGATAGCTATTAGCCATATGTATTAGCACTGAATATTTGACAAATGCAAACCAAAATGTGTTCAAAATGGAAAATGCATACTAGATTTTTAAGATGTAGTATGAAAAAAAAGTTTAATTCCTAACATCTTCATACTGATTATATGTTCAAATAAAATTTGGGTTATATTGGATTAAATAAAATATATTACTAATTTACTGTCCCTTGTTTCTTTTTACTTTAGAAAGCATGGCTTGTAGAAGTCTAGAATCACACACAGCTCACAATGTGTTTCTATTGCATGCTGCTGGCTTAGAGTTACTTGCTGGACATGTGACAAAAGAAGAGATGAAGGTAAGAAGGAACAGTCACGTGAAGGCCTGGAGAAGAACAGTGTTGTAGGCAAAGGGCAGAGGAAACAGCAAGTGCAAGGCTTGAAGCTGTGAGTTCAGCACAGTGTGAGAAGAGCTAGAAGGCTAAGATGGCCAGAACAAGGTGAGCAGGCGAGAAGTCAAGGTTGAGATTACAGGGACTGGGCCACAGCCTTATGAGACCTCTGAAGGTACCTGGATTTTAACTCAAAGAAAATAGAAAGTTACTGATGATATATAGTTTTTAATGGATCTGGCTTCTGTAAAGAATGAAATGGAAAGGAGAGGGAAGTAGAAACTAAGGGAAAATTAACAACATCCTTGCAGCCATTCAGGGAGATTGTCTAGATTGGAGTGAACCTCAGGATGAAAGCACTTCATGCAATTACTGGCCACTGACCTCAGCGGGCAGCAGGTCGACACATTTAACTTCTGGACTTGGCTGTGTCAGACAAAAGGGCCCTAGAGGTTGAAACTAATCGAAGATATAAGATGACTGACCAACACTATATTTGAAACATTTTGGATTCATTGCCAACTTTATTTTACAATCCTGATTTTTCTCTTCTCTGTGAAAATTAGAATGCCTGGAAAAAATGGGCTGGCATTTGCACATGGTAACAGATGGGTTACCAGCTGGGTTACTCAGTCCAGAGCTGAGTAGCAGCAGGGTTGTGTGGGGAATAAGGGCTGTTTCCTGTCCAAGGAAGCTTTCTGCAGCCATGAAAACTTCTGCATCTGTATTGTTTGCTTAGGAAAACACAGGTAGACCAGGTATTTTAATGCAGCTTATACTACTACAGAACTTAATTTTGAAATTTATACATTTCAATTGATTTAATCTAAATAGCCAGTGGGTCTAGTGGCTACCATCCTAGACAGTGAAGCCCTAGCCTGCCCTAGCTCCTCAGTCTCTCCAAATATATCCTTGGTATGGCATCATGGCCTGCAACTAAGTGAGCAGCGACCTCTATAAATCATCATACAAGTGTGTATTGCTTCATTCATGCTAAAATGGAACACTTTCACTCCATTTTGGTATGAAGTTTTCCTTATAAAATTCTAGAATAGATATTGATTATTACCTAACCCTATTTTATGGTTTTATATGAGCTTTATTATGTTTATATTTTTATTTTCTTTCTTTCTTTCTTTCTTTCTTTCTTTCTTTCTTTCTTTCTTTCTTTTTTTCCCAGAACAAGGGATTGAACTCAGGCCCTTGTGCTTGCCAGGGAAGTGCTTATTCCACTGAGCCATCTCCTCAGCCCCAATGTTTATATTTTTAAATAAAAAAATAATGTCAAAGATTTATTTAACTCACTAGTAAGGAAAGCAGTAGGATGACAAAGCAAAAGTTTTTATAATTGCTGGAATCCAATTGGAAAATTAGACCTCACGGCTGCTTGCCTAACATCCTATGTGGCCATAAAAATATGTCTTCAAAGGGTTGTTTTTTCTTCTGGATAAATAACTTGCAATGCATCCATCTGTAAGTTAGCATCTGATTTCACAGTCTAAGGCCTAATAGAAATTGTCAATACTACACAGACATCAGTAGAACGAGGACTGGGAAACATTGCCACATCTCATTCCTATGGGCCAAAGCCTGCACTTTTCTTAAAAGTCAATAAATTTCTTACTACCAAACTTTCCTCTTTAAGTCATAGGAGAGTCTTTCCTTGTCCTGCTACATTATGTTTGCTAGTGTTTACTTGAGGATTGTTGCAACAACATGTATATGTAAAACTAGGCTATAGATTTCAGGTACTCTCTTCATCAGAGTTTGGATGCAGGGTTGTTAACTTCATAAGTTAAATCATGCCTGGACTACTCTGCTTTCCAAACACAGTTTCCATTTTATTGCTTTGACTGCTTAAACTAGGAGGGTGTTTGACAAATGCAAGTAACAACAGTTGCAGACTCACTGTCAGACTATAAAGGGACCTCTATTGTCACAGGAAAGTTCAACCTGACTGAGAATATGATCTAATAATTCTTGAAAAACATGAAACATTTTTGCTTATGTCCTCCAGACTCAAAAATCTGAAGAAAATATAATTTTCTAATATGTGCTATTTTTCATTATTTATACTACCATTAATTTTATTTATAGCAAAATTTAAGCATACAGTATATGGTAAGGACCTATTGGGATATTACCTCTTCTTCTTCTTCTTGCTCTTCTTCCTCTTCTCCTTCCACTTCAATATTCCCTTCTTTATGGGCAACTTTCTTCTTCTTCTTCTTCTTCCTACGACTCTCAATGACTTCAGGATCCCACTGATCTCTACTATAGATGTATCCTGTGATACTGTGCTGTCTTTGCCCAGATACTCTTTGGCATAAATCATAGTCAGGGCACTAAGTAAGGGACAATATTATTAAATCACCAAAAACATTCTCAATATGTTTCTAATATTATTCTGATTCTGGTGATTATGCAGTATGATATTATGAAATGCATAAACCAAAAACCTCCTCTAAAACCTGAGCAAATACAATATAACAAAAACCACAAGTTTTATGCTATGTCAATATCTTTATTTCTCCATAATTATTAAAATGAAATTTTCAGTTTAAAAAACAGGATTAGAACAGTAGAAAGAGTAGAAAAATAAAAGATCACTTTACTGCAAAGAATGTAAGTTCACAGGATCCTAATCAGATTGTTGAAAAAGCTAAAAGTGGAGAAAACTAGGGGTATCTCCACATACTTACAACAAAAACATTAATATTGTACATTCTCAATGTTTATTATCATTTATAGCTTTATGGGAAAGGGGCTTTATAAAACTCCACCATAAATGGGACCTCAAAGATTACTCTAATCTAAATTTTAAATTTTATAATTGAGGAAAAACAAGCCCTACATGGGAAATAAAAGCCAAAACCAAAGTCTATGAGTAATTTTCTTGTTTTCATGTGTGCAATTTTACTAAAGTCTCAGACTAACATGTTAAAATAAGCAAGCCAATATAATTATTAAAGCCACTTTGTAAATTGTAGAAATACAGGCAGATTACCAGAATACAATGTCATTTGGAAGCTTTCTAACTCAAAGCCCATGCTATGAGAGCTTTATTAATAGTAATGAAGGCTTGGGATTGTAAATCCTGCTCTGAATGTTTTCTAAGATTAAAAAAGAAATCTGGATAAAATAGGCATGGTGGTACATCCATGTAAGCCTAGCACTCCAGGAGGTTGAGAAAGAAGAATCACAAGTCTAAGTCCAGACTGGTCACTTTAAATACTTAAAGAAAATCCTGTCACAATTTTTTTTTTAAAGAATCAGGATGTAGCTCAGTGGCAAAGTCCTGGGCTCAATCTCCAGTAACACCACCACCAAAAAAAATCTGGATGATATTATATGGCAATGATTCTCAAATATTAGGGTGTGGTTGTATATGACTCATCTGGCCAGCTCATTAAATATAGATTTCTGCTTCCCCTTGTAATTTACTAAGATTGAAGAGTCTGAGATACTTCAAGTGATTCAGATGCTGACCACATTTTGAAAATAAAAGGAAGCACGCATATTGTTTCATCTTATTTGATAAACTTCTTAGAAGTCACCAGGTACCACAGAGTGAACTAGCTGATGCTTACATGAGTTAGACATAATTTCTACCTTATAGGAGTCACTGTTCACTTCATTGCAGGCCTACATAGGTTCTGTCCATTGGTAACGTGAACCAAGGATATAAATGAGAAAACAGAGCACCTAAGGCAGGTTAGGGCTTCACTGTCTGATATGGTAGCCACTAACCCCACTGTCAATTTAGATTTAAATCAATTAAAATTACATAAGAGAGCCTAGGAAGAAAATGGAGAATTGTGACAAAGGGAGGTGAATAATATGAGCATGGAATACTATGAATGGACATCAGAGAAGTTCAGTACTTAACTCTTCCAAGGTGGGCAAGGTGGGAGAGGGGCAGGGAAAACTCTGAGGAGAGGATACTGAACTGACTTTCCTAGGACGTCTAAGATCACAGCTGAAGAAACAGCAGGAAGTGTTTCCTGTGGATGGAGGCACAGGTGCACTAGCACAGATATATGGAGAAATGTAACTCAGTCTCTTTGATGCACAAATTACTATTTTAACAACTACTTAAAAATTTGAAAATATTCTTTGAATTTAAGAACTATCAAAAAGAAAAGTTTGCCATGTTAGAAAGACAATATCTTTACCTTAATATTGATTATAATATCAGGATTCAAATTTACATTTTTAATGAATTCTATTTGCTGCAAAGTAGTCGTAGCATCCTGTGAAAGTGATGGTATCTCAGTGATAACATAACCTGTCAAGTAAAATATAATTTAAAAATTTATGAATCATTAACACATGAGAGCATGGATTACTTTATAAAATATCATCTAGTTTTTTAATGAATATTAACACAGGTCATAAACTTATAAAAATGTTAAATTAACAAATTACAGTCATTACTACATGATGTATAACTATGAAGACCAATTTTCTGATTTAAAAGATTTATCATGAAGGACACCTTCCAGAGCAGTTCTAAGAAATTCCAAGTCAGTTTAATTTTAGACAAATGAGGTAGATAGGGAAGGAAATTTCCAAGCTAGCAATTCTTTACTCATACTAGAAATGCTTGTATGATGAATGGTGAAGGTGTATTACAAGAGTTAAGTAATAGATTATTTTCTTTCTTAAATTATTATTTTATGATATAATAGAACATATGAATATAAAACTTATCTAAATTATAGAGTAAAAAACACTGATATACCACCTACTGTTAAATAAACAAAACAGAATATGATTTGGGTCTAGCATATTTATTGTTTGTATTCTCATCTAGAAGCCTGAATCTCTTCTCTGAAATTCACTGTGTTTACCACAATTTCATTAATTTCCTCAACATATTTCTCTAATTATGTCACTTACTTTCTTGAGAAAATTTTATCAATAAAGGCTCAGTTCCTTCAATGTAAATTAAAAGCCTTCAATCTATTTTTCTCCTATTTTTATAGAATATTTTTTGGGTGAGGAACTGAGAAACTACATTGGATATTTGACAAAATAATTTACAAAAAGTAAAAAAGAGAAGAGTAAATGCCTGTTACTTCAACTTACATACAGTTTGCCAATTAGATTCAAATGAAAATTTAAATTTTGGAAAACTTTAATCCATTGCCATGAACTTGACAGCTTCCTAATTCCTAAAGCTTTTCTTATTAGGATTGACAAGGACATAAACAAGTATAATTTTTTATCTATAGGGTCTAACTGAGCAGCTTGAACTCCTAGTGATCCTCCAGTTTTCAGCCTTCCCAGAACTGTAATTTTTATCAAGTTTAATTTCTGATACTGCATAATGAATATTATAATTAGAAGATGTGCATAATACAAAGAACAAGTATTTTCTAAATGACCAACCGAATGTGTCACAAAATCATGCACAGGAAAGAGACTCATTCTGAAGGTAAGATAGCCAATGGATTTTCTTTTAACAGAGTTTGAAAAGTTCATTTATTGATTTTAAATGCTTCAGTGCAACTAACCTTAAAAAACCTCCCACTTTACTCAGTTTTGATGTAGAATTAAGAAGATGAAGAAGGAGTGTGTGGGAGAGCTTCCGGCTACCCTGTGCCGGTGGGAACTACCAGTCCCAGACCAGGCACAGCTTGGGTGAGAACCTCTTTCACCCCCTTGGGACCCTCCCCTCCGAAACACTCCGCAGCACCCCCACCCCCACCCCACCCGCCGCGTGAGAATTTCTGACACGTGCTAGGGACCCCCATATAAAGTCCTAGCCCAGGCCCGGTGAGTGTGTAGGAGAACTTGAGGCTACACTGCACCTGTGGGACCTGCCGGGCACAGCCCAGGGACAGCATGGGTGAGAATCTCTTCCACCTCCTTGGGACACTCACCCAACACTCCACAGCACACCCTCACCCTGCCCACACAGTGAGAATTTCTGCAGCATTCTGGGGCCCTCATATCCAGTCCTAGCCCAGGCCTGGTAAGTGTTCAGGAGAGCTGCCTTTCCCCCTACTACACCTTGTCCATTCCACACTCAGATCAGGCCTGGCATACAGAAGCAGAACATCTTGCCAGAGGGGCACAACAGGTGCACTCCCAAGGGCAGCAGCAGGAAGGAGGTGAGCACAGCAGCCAGACCCAAGCCAGGCACAGCTGGATAAATCCAAACTTTGTAGACCTGCACCTAAACTTCAGTAGGTACTAAGGTTATAACAGTGCTACACAAAAGGACAATGAGAAGGAGCAAAATGCAATCTCAGAACCCAAGCCCACCCATAACAAGTGCAGAGGACACTAACACAGAACAAATTGGGAATCACACAGCTGAAAGCAATGAATCAACAGCTTCTGAAACAAAGAAACAGCTGCAGAAAGGTATAGAGGAACACAGATTGGAAATTAAAAAAGAAATCCCTGAATTAATAACATCTGCAGTAGAGAATCAAATGCAGAAACATATGGAGGAAACCCAATGTCCACTCAGAACAAGTGCAGAGGACACTAGCTCACCTCAATGTATGAATTAATAGTGTCGATAGTAAATAAGCAACAGCAGAAAGTCATACAACTCAGAGCGGAATTCTTTTCTACTAGTTGAGCTCAGATGTATGAATTAATAGCCTTCTAAGTAAATAAGCAACAGCAGAAAGTTATAGAGGAACTCAGAGCGGAATTTTCTGAAATAAGAAAATAATTCTCAGAATTCATAGCATCAGAAGTGAAGAATGAACTACAGAAACATAGGAAGGAAATGCAATTTGAAAAAAAAACACTGCAGTAAAAGAATTAATAACTGCTTCTAAAGAAGACATTGATTTAAAAAATAGAGATTAGAAAAATGATGGTTTCCTTGAATGAGCAATACAGGAAAGAAACCGATTGCATGAAACAGAGTCAAAGAGATAATAGAGAAATTTAAAATCTCAATCACAAGCTTGCAAAACTGTTTTTTTAATTAATTAATTTATGTGTGTGTGTGTGTGTGTGTGTGTGTGGCCAGCTCAGCCCACCAGGGGGCAGGGCTGGCTGGCATGTGGTGCTGGGGGATTGAACCGTGGTCCCTCTGATTTGCTAAGCTTGTTCTAAGTAGGTGCTTTAGACCACTGAGCCATCTCACCAGCCCTGCAAAACTGTTTAAGTGAAAGTGAAGACAGAGTTTCAGATCTTGAAGACGCTGGTGCAGCTAATGAAAAGGTAAGAAAGGATCTCTTAAAAACAACTAGGATGCAGGAAAGAATAATTCATCACCTGCAAGATGATGCAAAGATGAACAATGTTGAGACTAATAGGCATCAATGAGAAAGAAGGAGTCAACACAAAGGACATTAAAAAAATATGGGCAGAAGTAATAGCAGAAAACTTCCCAAATATAAGGAAACAATCTGACATTCAGGTAATTGAACCATACAGTATGCCAAGTAACCTCAACACAATTAAAAACCCACCAAGACATATAATAGTCAAGATCCCAGAAATTCAGCACAAGAAGAATATACTGAAAGCCACTAGAGAAAAGAAGCAGATCACAATCAAAGAAAAACCCATCAGAATTATGGCTGACTTCTCGTCACAAACCATGAAGGCAAGAAGAGCATGAACAGAGTACTTCAAGTCCTCTACGAAAACAAATTCCAGCCCAGACTACTATACCCTGCAAAACTCTCTTTCAAGTTTGATGGAGAAGTAAAACACTTCCATGACAAAGAACAACTAGAGAATTTCATGATGACAAAGCCAACCCTACAGAGGATACTGAAAGACGTTCTAGAGAGGGACAAAAAAGATCAGAACTCCACAAATGAGATCAGAAGTCAACCAACTAAATAGGGCAAGCAATTAAACACAGGAGAAAAAGGAGTACACGACAGCAGGTAAATAACATGTCAATTGTAAGTCAATATATGTCAATTATAACCATCAATGGAAATGGACTCAATTCACCAATTAAGAGAAATAGACTGGCACAGTGGATTAGGAAACAAAATCCAACAATATACTGTATGCAAGAAACACATTTAACTCATAAAGACATTCATAGGCTGAAAGTCAAAGGATGGAACACAATACATGCCCCAGCACCTCAGAAAAAAGCAGAGGTAGCAACGCCATTCTCAGACAGTCTCAACTTCAAAACAACAATGATCAAACGAAATAATGAAGGTCACTATACACTGGTTAGGGGAAAAATTCAAGAGGAAGAGGTAACAATCATAAAAATGTATGCACCAAACATGGTAGAACCCAACTATATAAAGCCACTCTTAATGAACATGAAGAATCTAATATCCAATACAACAATCTTAACAGGAGACCTTAACACCCCCTTATCCCAAAAAGACAGGTCAACCAGAGAAAATATTAACAAAGAAATAACAGACCTGAACCAGAGCTTGAAACAAATGGATTTGGTGGACATATACAGAGTGTTCCAACCAAACACAGCTGAATACACATTTTTCTCAGCTGAACAAGGGTCATTTTCTAAAATCAACCACATACTAGTCCATAGGTCATGGTTAAGTATATGCAAGAAAACAGAAATTATCCCATGCATATTATCTGACCATAGTGCAATGAAACTGGAAATAAATGACAGAAGAAACTAAAAACAAACTCTAAATACATGGAAATTAAATGACACCCTACTCAGCAAACAATGGGTCACAGCTGAAGATAAACAAGAAATTCAACAATATCTACATTTCAATGAAAATTCAAGCACAACTTATCGGAATTTATGGGATACGATGAAAGCATTCTTAGAGGGACATTCATAGCTGTGAACTCACACATTAGGAAAACAGATAAATACCCTAATGCTGCACCTTCAACA